CATGCGGGAGTGCAAGGCTAGATACCAGCACCTGGAGGCTCAGCGGGATGAGATGGCAGTTCCAGGCCATGATGGAGTCCTACTGGAACAAGGTCCTCCAGTTCTTTGCCACCAGCGGCACTTCCCTCGAGCCTTTACCCAAAGCCCTGTACCTGGAGGCTGAAGCAGACCCCAAGTTGAAATTTCTCCCCCCTCCCACCCACACACAAAAGCTCCCAAGGGGGACACTCTCTGCAGCAACACAAATGTTCACTGTATGTATCTGGCCCAGGGGCTGTAGTTTGAGGACCCCTGATTGAGTGCAATAAAAAAAATGCAAATGATTTTTCTGCGGACCACCAAAATTTTCTCGCCAACCACCAGTGGTCCATGGGCCAACAGTTGATGATCACTGCTCTGAAGGAATGAGGGTCTAGAAAATGGGCACCATAGCAGAAAAGACTGTTCCGTAATAGATGGATCTTGGGGTATGACTTTTTTGCTGGATCTCATGGGTAGATGCACTTGGGGAGACTACCCCATGAATAAACTGGTCCCAGGCTCTGAAGGGCTTTGGATAGCCGCACTTTAGAATGAGCCCAGAAACATACTGGAAGACAACAGAGTGTGCCCATAACTGCTTGTGACACTGTAGTTTATGCTTTCAGAGGCTATTCAAAGGCATCCCTATTCTGAGAGTTATGTGAGGTCTTGGGGCAACAAACTGTAAATTCATGTATTAAAATTTTATTCATATAAATACATGGAATAAGATACATTGTTTTAGGACAGAATGAAAGGGCCTGGTTACATATTTGCTTATGAAAAATCATCATCACTCGAGTATTCGCCATTTCAATAAATGAAAGAAGTGTAATTACCTTTAGAGAACGTGGAGACAGAACTAATGTAATGTAATTCACCATTTAATACAAGCCTGAAAAATACCAATCTTAGAGAAAAGTATTCAAAGGTCCTTGCATATTGTGTAATTTGTAAAGCTGTGATGGTTATAAGCTTAAGTATATGTAAAATATTATGGGAAAATATTCACAGAAATACAGTAAATTGCAAAAAAAAGTATCAAAAACACAACTGAACACCTGGAAAAATGCTTTTAGAACTGCTTATATTATATACTAGGATAAATTATTCCAGTATACTTTTAAAAAATTCATTGGTTATATTTAAATCTTGGTTCATATCATAGCCATCAAACAATAACTACACTGCTGCTAAAACAAAAGACCTGGCATTTGTTAGACTCATTCTTTGTTCTATATGTCCATCATGTAGCAATATTAATAAATCAATGATTTCAGTCACTATCTACATCCTTAACCTACAGACCTTAAGTAAGGGCTCCAAGGTTTTTTGTCAGTATTTATCAAACAAACATGCCAATAAACACTTGTATATCCAGTGATGATAAACTGAATGACTACCATATACGGTACTAGTGCATGCAACTGTAGCAAGCTAAGAAGGATTAGCCCTGTTATCTAAAGTACAAAAATAAAATCTTAGTATAAAAAGCCTTTGTTGAAAATCTGGAAAGTCACAGCAAGTAAAGTGGACAATATCAGATGAAATGAACCAATGATCTGACTTAGGATACAGCATCAAATATATTACTGATAGTTATCCTTGTAAACCCCAGATTTTATTACAAGATAAATGCCACTAAATAAACAGTGATCTTTCTTCATTCATTCATGTAAAAACACACACAGAGAGACAAGGTATTTCTAATCTGATTTTCTTTGTTTCTACTTTATTGGTGCTTAAATGCAGATATTTGAAGTGACAACATAAAAGGACATTCAGGAAAAAGATAGGCAGAAATCAGATGGCCAAGCCAGGTTGGCACTGCAACTCATGAGATCAAAGGCTTCCTTCATCTCATTGCTAATTCCTAAACCACCTGTCCCTCAGAATAGTTAATCGGGGCATGCCTAATCTCTGAGAAGGTTATTGACACAAAACGGTGCTCTGTGATATAAAATGTATATCAGCTTCAATGGTGATAAGTGTTTTGGGACTTTCTAACTATTCAGTTTCATTGTACTTGGAAACCCACTGCACAAATTATCAAGTTCAAATGTGCACCCGAACTTGTGTTGCCAGGACAAGGATGAAAAGAGTTTTCTGAAAAACAGTGCGTTTGACACCATGCTTTTGTGTTTTTGTTTTTGCTTTGCAAATTTCCAGGAAACACTGTGTTCAGTGACATTTATGTTCTTTTCTTTTGACCCCCGGTTTCAATAATAATATCTATCCCTCATGAACTTTATTAATACTTGCAGGAAATGAGTTGAATGCTTATTTGTTTCCATAAAAAGATACAGGAAGAACCAAAATAAATGCTCTTCTGAGCTGCCTACATCAAGTTGCCATTTTCCCTAGAAGACGTAATTGTTGTTATTTTCTAGTTTCGGAAAGAAAAACATATTCATTTCCTCTGAATCTTATCTGCAGTATTTTCAGAATGCCATATCCAATTCAGAAAATGTTTTTTCCCAACAAAGGTACACGATTTTGACATGATTTTCTTTTGTCTACTGCCATCAGTAAAAGCATGAGATACTATTCTTGCTTTTTGGCTCACAATTGATGGAATCACATGCCAGGCATTTTTAATACTTTGAACATTGCCTGTTCCAAAGCATCTTTTTCTTAGGGTTTGGGACAGCATTCAACCATTTTTGTACCTTTCAGACGTATGGATGTCATTTCCCAGAATTCTCAGTAAGCCCATTAAGGCTGAAGAATTCTGGGAACCAAAGTGGTTGAATTCAGGGTGTGTCTTAGCTAAAATAAATTTCAGAATAACTTTTGTTTCCATCCTCCAAAATATTCTTAGTGCGGGCTGTATGAATTTCTTTTTAATGGTTTATTAAGACACTGAGGAAATTTCATTTTGGGAGTGGAAAAAGCAGACTTATACAGAGGTGAGGCTACTAATTGTCACTATTTGTGAAGATACATTATAAAACAGAGATGAGTTAATGTGCCTGAAAGAACAGCTTCACCAGACCCAACACAGGATGCAACTAAGCTAAGCATAGATCAAGAGAAAATATGACCTGGTTCATATAGTAAATTTGACTAAATTTGGTTATACGCTGCCTGAATGAAGTGACATTGCCCAAATTTGGCCAAGGTAGAAAACCTTAACAAAATATCAACTCCTCTCTTAACTTTGAATGGCTTTCACTTCAGCTATTCTATATCACTCTCATTTTGAGGGGTTATTTTTTTAAAAAAAAAAGTAATGCCAGCTGCTGGCCAATTCATTGATGGCTGGAATCTGGCTGGTGAAAAGAGGGCCCAACAAACTACTTGAGTAACCGTTTATGTGATTGTCTGTGTAGCAGTTCATAAATAAATACTTAATCCACTGTTAATATTAAGTATATTACTGCTACAAGTGAAACATAGCCAATACACAAGTTCCTCCAAATATATAGGCCATCATTTTTCTTTATCTTCAGACATATGATGTATATGTTTACTACAAATATCCTGACAAAGATTCTGTGCTTCAGTTAACTATGAAGCCAGAGTCATATATCAATTATGGTGGAAAATATTATATCTATTAGGTATTTGAAGTATTGGTTAATCAAAAAAGTGGTGTGGCAAATCTAATGTATGTAGACCGTGAAAAAAATACGCTTTTCTTACTTAAGTAATGTTTCTGTATGAAACTAGAAAATATGGTAGTAGTCAATAGAAAACTTCAGCAAATAATCTAATTTACTACATACATCTCTAATGGAGAAAAATGGGATGGAAATGTTGGCTGAAGACTGAAAATAATTTATATTTTTACTTTGTACCTCCACTAAAATATGAAGGTGCCACACTGAACTGAGAAATTCACTCTACTTTTGCATTCTTTTGATGAAATAAGAGTTTCATAAAGTAGACAAGCGAGGATATCTCAACACTGCAAGCGTAGGTGCATAAGAAAAATATGAAACATCAGGGTTGTTTTTGAGTGGATGCTGAATTGAACAGCAAGAAAGAATAGGGCTCATTTAATCCAAGTTCATAATTTGGAAATCATTATGGATATAAATTATTTTAATTTGTAACTAAACTTGGCTCAAAATAATTCACTTGAAAGAAAATATTAGACTACAAGGTGACACTTATCTTCAATTCCTTTTCTGGTGCTTGTTTCAGAATGGTATCTAGCTGTGGCAAACTAATAGAATTATGTAAGAGAAAACATTTTAACAAACTGGTGCATATTTCGTGCAGGGAACAACAAACAAAATCTTTTTCTTAATGGGAGTTCTGATTACAACTTTTAAATTTAGAATACATGACATCTCTTAATTTTAACAAATACCACACATCTTTCTGCAAGCACAAAAATCAGTCCTCCCATCTCTTTTTCACAAAACATTTATACTCCCACACATTTTGATATGTGTTTGTAAGTGACTACAATTATGCCAACTGTATTTTAAATTCATGACATCAAAAAAAAGCTATAAATGAGTTAATTATCTATTACAATCAGATGCCAAATCTATTCTGTCTATAAAAATTAATTAAAATTTAGAAAATGGAATCACTTATACCTTTTACAGTTAAGTACACCTGCATGGTTCTGGGCGTGTGCTGCGTCTGCACTGAACAAGTATATAGACCATCATCTGACACATCCACATTCTGTATCTGGAGACTGTATTCCCTTTTATTTGCTGTTGCAATTGAAACTCGAGGATCTACTGACCACTTGTCTCCTCCTGCAAAAATAATGCTTGATCGATTCAGCCAGGCACCTTTTGAAGCTCCATCTTCCAAGTAACATCTATAAATTAAAAAAAAAGGATGCAATTAATAGAATGATCTTAGTTGTCTAGAAAATATTTTTTTAAAATGTTACCCATGACTTACATAGTTATGAATTTATATTTTTCTAGAATCCTAATATACTTTAAGATTTGCCACTAATATCTGATTTATGAATATTTCTGGGAATTTTGTGAGTTCCTTCTTGGAATAAGTATCCCAAGGACTCCGAAAGAAATTTTAAAAAAAACTCTAGCAACAAATTTCTTAGTACCCCCTTGTTTTTAAATACCAATAGCAATAGCAGTTAGACTTATATACCGCTTCATAGGGCTTTCAGTCCACTCTAAGCGGTTGACAGTCAGCATATTGCCCCCAACAACAATCCGGGTCCTCATTTTACCCACCTCGGAAGGATGGAAGGCTGAGTCAACCCTGAGCCGGTGAGATTTGAACAGCCAAACTGCAGAACTGCAGTCAGCTGAAGTAGCCTGCAGTGCTGCATTTAACCACTGAGCCACCTCGGCTCTTAATGACAGGGGAATGCAGATATTTAAAATTCTGAACATAGATTAGAGTAATTTTTATTTATTAGGCTTCTGCAAGTCATTTGATGAATATTAAGATCCGTTTTGACTGTTATTTTGTCCTTCTGAAAAAGACCCCAAAGAAATACAAGGAACTAAACAGCCATGAACCAAGACTTCAAAAGAACTTGTCACATTTTCCAAATATATTTTCTTGCCTATTCTCAGAACCAAATATTGGAATAAGCAGTTTTCTTATTTTATCCATGACTTATTACTCACATTTGTTATATTAATATGTGCTAAGAGCATATTCTTTTAAAAAAATCTTAAAATTGGCAAATATAGATTTACCAGTACTTCAATGGTAACGATTTTAGTAATTTCTTTAGCAAATGATGACATTTTTCTATATTACTTATTTCATCTAAAATACCATTTGAATAATTAGAATACTGCAATACAAAATTCAACACAATACAGAAATTCTATTCACATTCATGGAGCCAATATATCATAGGAAGGAACAATACTTAAATCAGTGTGTCAGACTTCTGTCTCTCTAAGCTTTTGAAAATGTTCCATCACAGATTGAAGAGTGTTTCTTTTAAATGAGCACAGTACATCTCACAAATGAAATACACATCCATTGGAAAAGGTTTGACAGAATATCTACACAGTCCCTCAGGGGTTGGAACACCATGCTGAAAATTGCTACAAAGTCCCAAGCTGATTTCAGCCGGGCGAGTCACTGCCAACAGTACGAAACTAATCAGTTCAAAAAAATAAGGAACAAGATATCTCACAGAATCTAATTTACAGCCACTTTCATTCTCATGCTGAAACAAAAGCACAAAGGGTGTTCATAGATTTGTATTAAGAATGACCGGATCTTCATATTTATTTAAAGATATGCAGCCAGATTTCTAAAATTTTAAAGTAACTGCATAATATGATGCACGTATGATTAAAGCATGACTGTGATTCAGAAGTTATGAGGCACTTCATTCTCTTTTAAGAAACCTATTCATATATTTAAAAATAAGGAGGTTTCTCACATCAAATTAAAATGAATTTCTCATTGGGAAACACCCAGCCAAGCAGAAAAGAGAACTCAAGCAAAGGATTAGCCTGGAATGCAGCCTATGCAGCCACAGGATATTTTGGACTAACCCTCCCTAAGCTCCACAGAACCTTATCTATCTTTCCCCAAGAAAAAGCAAGCAGTCTGGGGATATTCCTGTATTACTGGCAGAATACAATAAACAGTTAGCTTGGACCCTACGTGCATGGATCTGGTTGTTTGCACCTGAATTTCTAGCATGTTGTAAAAATATACAAAATGGCTTAATGTAAAATACCTATTCTGGATTTACTCAGAAGGAAGACCCTTATACATCTTATATTTAATCCCAATAAATTGAATTAAGTGCTTCTATTTTGAAAGACACCCTCTAGTACCAGCCATTCTGGCTTCACCAAATATTACAAAGGAGTGTATCATTAGTGTCCCTGCTCAAGTCCTGCTGTGGTGGTTCATGAAAAGGTGTTCCTGGGAGAGACAGGTAAAGTACCCTGAGATTCTTTGTGAAGAGGATATATTCAGTGGTAGGATTCAAATAATTTAACAATAATTTACCAGTTCTCTGCCCTAATGATTTTTCAAACAACCAGTTTACCAAACTGCTCATAAAGTTAACAACCAGTTCTCCCGAAGTGGTGCGAACTGGCTGAATTCCACCACTGGATATATTCCTTGCAGGACATGAAACAGTCCAGCAGTGGCTATATACTATATTAATTATATGAGCAGACAAGATAAAATGATAGCACTGAGCGATAGAATCTGCAGGCTAAAAAGTCCACAACATGCATCTGAGGAATAGCTGACAATCTTTCAGAGTATTAACGGTGTATATCAGGGGTATCAAACTCATGGCGTCACATTGTCATCCTGTGACGTATCACCTCTCACCCTTTGCTAAACTAGGGGTGGGCATGGTCAGCGTGTGACGCATCTGACTTGCGGTCCGCAAGTTTGACAACCCTGGTGTATATGATGTGACTAGATTAAAACCCTTTGGGATGTCTAATTCCCAATGTTGCCATGCAGGAAAAGGAAATTCAAAGCTGTAGAGGAAGAACTACACTGGGAACATGGGAAGTAGGGAGCATTAGTATGGAAAAATGTTAGCATAGACAGAAAAATCATGTGGTTTACTATTAAGAACATGAAAGAATAGCACTGCTTTCAAATTGAAAGGATATAACTAAGACATTATTTAGATATAGTGCAGTTAATGACCAAATAATATCCATTAGATTTCACAGACTACCCTAATTATTATTATATTAGTCAAGATCATGCTCCAACCACTGATGCAGAAAAAGAGGAGTTTGACAAATAAATAGTCAAATTCAATCTAAAATCAACAGAACATGAACACAAGATGTGTTGTTGGTGATTAGAGACAAGAACGTCAAAGTTTGAAACATTAAGAGGAAAATGTAGTTGTCTCCACAATACGGTTTTGACCACATTCCCACCATTTTCAAGAGGAACACAAGAAATGACTTTGAATTCTTGAACTTAAGTGCTGGGAAGCCAGAGAAGTTCTAGCATGAAATCAAAGAAAGTGTGAAAAGAGACTGCCAAACACCAGTAAAAAGAAGAAAGCCAACTGTATAGTAAAAACATAATACAAATCTGAAGACAAGAACAAAAGCTACAGGCAAGAAAGGAAAAAAAATATCATAAAGGAACTTAATAAAGATTTTCAAGGAACAGTTGGCAGAGACAAGGAGTATCATTACAATGATATGTGTAAAACATCAAACATGGAAAGAGACATAGAAAAACAAGGAAAATATTCCAAAATCTCTCTGAACCCAGAAAGAGGTCCTAACTTTGAATTAGTGTGCCGAAGGACACAATGAATAGAGAGTAACTGGTTCAAAGATCAGACAAAGGTGGAACAAAAATGGAAAGAGAACACTGAAATTCTACACAGTAAATACGTGAACACCCAAGATACCTTAGAATGTATTCCCTCCTTAAAGCATCCAAAGGGGAAGCAAGATAACCACCTTAGTCGTAACTAAGCCAGATGTTTATAGGAATTGATAAAGTATCTATATACAGTAATATTGCTAGCCATGTAGGGAGAATCTGTTACCTTTCCCAGCAAAACTGAGAAATTATGCCAGCAAAACTGGGAAAGGTAGTATCTAACAGACTGGAAGAGTTTGTTACATATCAAAATTAAAAAAAAGAGATTTAGCAGAGTACATAATAGTTTTTATTTCACATGGTAACAAAATAATGTAAAAGGAGTATATAGCAAAAGAATCATATAGACAAACACTCTATATGCTTATGATTACTCCATGGTTGCTCCAACAATCATATGTGCACAACACACACATATACACCAATACTGATGAGTGATGAAGAAATGTTAAGTAAACTGTGAGGAGACATCAAAGGAAAGGGGTAAGTAATTTTTAGGTTGGAGCATTTTTTCTTAAAGTCTAAGCATATGGGGGGGGGGGGTTCTCCCCAAACCCTGACAATGATTTGCCAGATGTTGCAAATATTTGCAAACATTTAAAACAATGTCATTCCTCTGATTATTATTCTTTACTTTTATAAACCTATAAAGTTTTATTAAAAATATTTTATGATAATATTTTTATAATTTTTTATTTATGTTGATAATGTTATTTTTATGAGATTCAACAAATAAATACCCTATGAATAAATCAATTGAAATGTTAATATGGTAAATATCAATAAAATAACCCATACAAACAAAAGCTCTTTTTCTTATGAAAACTACATTCAAACTGAGTTAGCCATGTATTTTTACAGCTGTCTCTACAGTGTAACGGACAGTTCTAAAAGCTTTTTGTTCATAGCCTTTTAAAGACTATAAAATAATCACATGCCATTTTCAAAGTTACAGAGTTTTCTATCTGCTCCTCCTCATATAAAAACTCAACTCTTTGGACATCAAAGGCTTAATGCTGAAATGTCTGAGATGCAATA